AGTGAAGCCCTATATTTATTTTTATTTTAAAAACAAGCAATGAAACAATTAAGGAGGCTAGAGTATATTATAACTCACCTCAATGAAAAGAGTGTTGAGGAGGGTGGCTGAGAAGGCAGTAATGTTTGCACTGATGATTTTGATGTCGAGGGACTCGAAAATCTCACACAGTTTGACCATACTGTCCCTTGTTTTGCTGCACGTTAGGCTCACCACCAATGTTTTCTTCCCCATTGAAGACACCCTCAGCTGCACCCATCACCAAAAATAATAAAAACTCTCCAAATCAAATACTTCTCCTTTCTTGGAAGTTTATTGTCCACTTTATGAATCATGATACAGTGTGTTTAATAAATATGGAAAATGGACTATTATTCTGGATGTCTGTAATTGGAAAATTATAGAGAAAAAGGGCACTGTTTACCCTCGAATTCTTTAGAAATTGCCCTGAACAATAAAAAGTCACCAAACACTCCTGAATTTTTTAGAAATTGCATGATTTATTCCTAAATATTAAAAAGTGCACCAAATACCCTTGAACCCTTGAACACGGATTACCCCTCAATATTTAAATAAAGACGATACTTTTGGGGAGCGGTACTTTGGAGAATTCTTAAGGGCCAGATGAATCATACTCGCAATTCCCATGCTGGGAGCAATGCACTCTCTATCTGGCATTTTAGGACCAACGGTGCAACATTTTAAATTGTTAAGGGGTGTTTGGTGCAATTTTTAATTTTCAGGGTAAATCATGCAATTTCTGAATAATTCAAAGGTAAACAGTGCACTTTTTAATGTTCAAGGTAAACCGTGCAATTTCCAAAGATTTTGATTTAACGGTGCACTTTTCTCGAAAATTGTACAAAGAAAACGTGTTCTTGATCGTTAACATGTAGCCGATCTTCACATTCTAGTACTCCCTCCGTCCTATAATGATCTTCCCAGAGCACTATTCCAACTTCACGGGAATTTATATTTATTTGTGTTTTTTCATTGCCTATATGATAAAATAAAATATTCTTGTCACCACTTGTTTTGTTGAACTTTTGGTGTAGTTTTTAAATATGTATGTTTTATTTTTTATTTCTATACCAATATTTAAATAAAATAGATTGAAAAAACTTGGGATTTTTCTTCGTTTTGCGAACCGGGAAGATCATTATAGGACGGAAGGAGTATTAAACTTTCAATTTTACTACTTACGCACCACTTGATGTACACCAAATTGTATATTAGTGCTTTGTACTAGCACACTACAATGACACAAAATGTTAATGCAAAATTTTGCAGTTGCACTGACATTTTGTGTGCAAAGGATTAGTATACAACTTAGTGTACACCAAGTAGTGGACAACTAGACAAGTAGCACGGTTGTTAAATTGGGAAAACACCTAATTTCTATTGTACCCTCATGGTATCATGTTTTAGGCTGGTGTGTGCAGTTTTAGCGCAGCTGTGCCGACGGCCAACTCATGACTTGGAGAGCGAGAAGGGTGTGGGTGGGAAGCTTCAAGAAGGAGAGAAATAAAAAGAAGAAAAGGAGAGTAGAGAGAAAGGAAAAGGCCATCGGCGTCTCCGATGTATCTTTCCGGCTATCCCCTCGACCCTGAGTTCCGATCGGGGGGGGGGGGGGGGGG